TCACTCTGCCTCTTCCCTTCTCTCACTCTTTCTTTCTCTATCTCTCTCTCTCTCTCTCTTTCTCTCTCTCTCTATCTATCTATCTATATATCTATATATCTACCTATCTGCCCCCCACACGCACATACACACAAACAAACATTCTTTCGCCCTCTCTCACTATTCATCAATCTTCCTATCTATATATCTCTCTCTCTCTCTTGTGTTTTACCCAAGCAAGTTGTAAAATTTTCGGTTTAAAAAAATTTCACATTAAGGAAAACATTGTTATTGTTTTATCATACTTATTAAAAACATTTATTTTTATGAATGATCTTCGTGTTTTAAGTAAAATTTTATGTGTGGTTCTTAGTGACCTGTTGTTTCATAATTTGTTGAAAGTCGTGAGGAGTGGTCAAGAATGAGGTAGTTTAGAAAAACACCTTTTTTTTCTCCAACGTTTCGACCTTTATTAGGGCCATCTTCAGGGCCTGGGTTAATTACAAAACTTACGTTTATTGGAAAAAATACAATTTAAGATGTAAATATGTATTTTAAATCAAGTATTTCATACTCATAAAGTGTGGTGCTATTCTTATTGTGCCATATTGGTATTTTTTCCAATCAACATACATTTTATAATTTACCCAGGCCCTGAAGACGACCCGAATATAGGTCGAAACGTCGGCCAAAAAATGAAAAAGGTGTTTTTCTGAACTACCTCATTCTTGACCATTCCTCACGACTTCAACAAATCATGAACCATGGTGGGAGGATTACTGTACATCCAGTCTTCCCAAGCAAACCTCTCAACGAAATTATTTATCTATTTCAGTTTCTATCGGGGATTTTTTAAAGAACATTTCGGTTCTATTTTAACCATTTTTCATTCGAATATTTTTTCCGATACCAAAGAAAGCATTTGATTCTAGTACTTGTATCGAAAGTGAAGATTCGATGCTAAAAACACAAATTCCAAAAATTCTACTGGCCTGTGGGCAGAACTATTCCAAATTCCACTGTCAATTGAAAGTAGTTGCCCACAAGCTTACTCGACTTACGGCATGCCAGCAAGGCCAAAGGCCAAATCATACAAAGATTTCCCAAAGTATTGAGAAACATGGTCAATGCACCTTTGTACATCAGAATGAAGACTTCTACCCCAAAATGTAAACATCAGAGGAATCAATTTATCAAGGTTTAGTCCACCATCAAAGACTTAGAGGACAGGTCTGCGTAGAAGTCCACCTATCCAACTAGAACACCTAGACATGATTTATTACTGGTGCAGTGGTGAAAGTGTGATATAAGAACTGAAGGAAGAAAATATTTTGTATATAAGCTTTATTGCCTACGGTAATTATTAGAAAAAATATTCCTTTTTGGTTATGTTAATGGCTAGGTTGCAATCTTAATAAAGTCTATGCAAGATTGAGGGTTCGAGGGGAAAAAATTATAATTATAATTATATAATGTGATAAAAGAATATTAAGGTTATGTAAAAATCACAGTCCTTGTAAATTTAAAAATGGATGTAACATGTTATTATATGATACCAATGCGGAAGTATCGATGTTTCATCAAATTTCATTATTTATCGTTGAATCAGTTCTGGCGCATCTTCAATCTTCTGTTAGGATGCGCAAGGGCGAATTTGCTGGTCTTTTTGTGGTTTGTGGTTTTAACCCGTGCATGATTTTTTGATGAGAGTCATGCTTCGTTGCATTACGCAGCCCAGTCTCAATACACGATTGAGATCGACTTGAATTTTATTTGTAAGCATCTGCCCAACAAGTCGCATAATTAATTGAAGATGAACCTTATGAGAGGAAAATAGAATAGCATTTTTTGAACAAGGGTGATGGATTAAATATCCAAATTATGGTTTCATTTGGTGAATCCTTTCTCTGATTCATTGCAAAACGTTTTCACGCTTTTATCTAGCCGTAATCCAAGATTCCAAACTGGTAAGTCACGCGTAATTCCCACATTTTCAATTGGTAAATGTAATTCTGCCTGCGTAGGATAAGAGAAACTACCACAGATGTAATGAGAGTTCATTTTGATACTTCACTTCCTACACCAGTAACCTATTTTTATCGAGAAGTTTTTATAAAATTGTTACTCATAACTTTTGAAGACATAATTGGAATACACATTTGTTTTTAAGTTAAGGTTAATATCGGATAAAGGTGAAGTAATAAAGTTGTACTTTTTGAAAAATAGACGGCATTAGATCGATAATATCGATTCCACTTTAGGAAGAGTTTGTTAGTAGCTATGTGGAGATGGTGTGTATGTTTACATTAAATTTTAGTCAAAATACTTTCTTCTTTTTTAAAGTTAATTTTACTAATTTTTTAGTTACAAAAATATAAACGATAAAGTACCTAGATACTCCGAACATTCCAGTAATCCGAACAGCAAAAAATTCAAGAAGTGAGAATTGTAAAGCAAACAAATGCAATAAGAGTGAGAGAGAGAGAGAAAGGGAAAAAGAAAGAGAAAGAGAGAGAGAGAGAGAGAGAGAGAGAGAGAGAGAGAGAGAGAGAGACAGGAAAAGAGAAAGAAAGAGAGAATGAGGAAAAGTGTGAGAAAGAAAAAATCGAGAGAGTGTGAGTGTGAATGTGAGAGAGAGTTAGTGAATCAGAGAAAGAGAGAGAGAGTGAGTTAGTGAGAGTGTGAGTTAGAGAGAGAGAGAGCGAGAGAGAGGTGGGGAGGTAGTGAGAGAGAGAGAGAGAAAGAGTGAGGTAGTGAGATTGAGAGAGAGTGAATGAGGGAGTATGTGTGAGAAAAAAGAAAGAGAAAGTGGGACGGAGGGAGTGAGTGAGTGAGAGAGAGAGGGTGAATGAATGAGGGAGATCGAGAGAGTGAATCAGAGAGAGTGAGTTTGTGAAAGAGAGACTAAATGACGAAGAATGTGTGAGAAAAAAGAAAGAGAGTGAGAGACAATGAGTGAGAGATAGAAAGAATAAGTGAATGAGAGAGATCGAGAGAGTGAATCAGAGAGGGTTAGTTAGTGAGATAGAATGAGGGGGAAAGAGCGAGGAAGAATTTTTTTATTATTCCTATTACTACTATTATGATAGTAAGAGGGATTGTATTCTACATGCTTCAAATTATTAATACACGTATATAACGAACTGTAAGAATCAATAATGTATGAGCAATTTTATTACTATAATAATTAAATTAAGATTACTAACATCTATAAGTTCATATTTATTATGACAAATATTTTCCGTTTTAAATGTTATTACTTTTATTGTTATGTTCCTTACTTATAGGTGGTAAATAGTATATAGCTAGATGATTTTATTTGCATTTTATATTATGCTATATCACAGATTGAAAACGTTATGAATCGCAGTTTATTTTCTGTGTAAATTGTTTGGATTATGCTGAATAAGAAGTTAGCTCGGTTTTGCAGCGTGAGTGAGTCAGTGAGAGAGAGGGAAAGAGGGAGCGAATGAGGGAGAGTGTGCGAGAAAGAAAGAGAGAGAGAGAAAGTAAGGGTCTAAGAGTGAGTGAGTGGGATAGAGAGTAAGAGAAAGTGGCAGAGAAGAAAGAGTGATTGAACGAGATAAAAAGAGTAAGTGAGTTCGTAACTCACGAACTATGATGAATGAGATGAATGAAATGAGAGAGAGTGACTAAGTAAGTGAGAGAGAGTGAGTAAGAGTGAGAAAAAACGTGACTAATTGAGTGAGAAGGAGTGACTAAGTGAGAGAGAGACTGCGTAAGTGAAAGAGATATATAGAGTGAGTTGTAAGAAAGTGAGAGAGAGAGAAATTAAGTGTGTGAGAGATGATGAGTGGGTGAATGAGGGAGTTAAAGCAATAATAGTATTCAATATTCTAATAGGTTTAGCCTTTCATTTATGGAATAATAATAAAGCGTTGTTTGAAATTTTTTTGTTAGCATGTATTTTTTTAAATGCAGGTAACTTTATTGAACATAAGTTTTATACACTTGGAAGAGTTTGGGAAGTAATGCAAAATATATAGAGTAGCGTTAACGCTAATTGACATGAAACATGCGAGGTGGTTTCAACCCAGTTGTTGTCCTCCAAAATTCGGATGTTTTTTAGATTTTTTAAAATTTATTTACACAGCAAGGTCAGCGTGATGTCTCAGTTTGAGCCTTTAAGATTCACATGCCGGGGGCAGCGACTGGACAAAAACAGTGAAGATCGTATTCGGGTGCTCAGTTATGCGTTTGTACAATTTCGCATTTGTATATCGCGGTGAAGTATACAGTTCCAAATTCCAAGGTGCATTCGTGATATCCGCCGAACTCGATTTTGGTGAACTTGGGATATTTTTAGTTACTTGAAGACCCCAGGAAAGGTGACGCATACTGCCAAATAGGACAAAGAAGTGATAGGTATAACAACCTTTTGTTGAAGAGTGAAAGTGAAGAACTCTTATCAAGGACGGACTTTATAAGACGGGTTCGCCCCATAAGTCGTTTAATCACATCTCTGATTTGTTTTGAATATGTTATTCTTTTATTCAGTGTGACGCCTAATTATCTGACGGAAATAGCTTCAGGTACCCAAGCTGCAACCTGACTGTCGGTATCGTTTAAAATCTGCGATAGGTGTATAAAACTTATAGACTTTTGGGGATTTACTTTTAACACCCTCTGTAATAATAGTAATACAAATCCCTGCAACAATTAGTTCAGATGTCTTCTACACTTATACACCTGACCACCCAATTATTTTTTTGAACAGGTTATAATTGGTTTGTTTCACGTGAAATGTCCGTGTCCAAGGCAAAGGTTTTTTTAGTGAAATTACTATATAAAAACAAAATAATTTTATTCTAAGTATTTGCTTTCATTTTCTACACATTTTCCCCAACGCGTGACCAACTTTTTTATGCCAGAACTGAAGATTTCTGAGCTTTGAAATGAAACAAAATCTGAAAATGCTTTTTGGGCTTGAACATCATTTTCAAAAATGTTTCCTTTGACGAAGTTGCCTAATTTCCTAAACTGGTGAAAATCTGTTGCAGACATGTCTGGAGAATAAGGTGGATGCTGAAGAACTTCGTAGCCAAGCTCTTTCAATTTGTTTACATCATGATTTGAAACACTAAACCTGGCGGTCTAGTAAAGAAGAGGACCTTTCTGATTTACCAATACAGGTAGTTTTTTAAATAATTTTTTACGCATTTCATCAATTTCCTTGCAGTACGATGTAGGGAGGTAATGGTCCTACCTATAGGCGAAAGGGAGTAGTGAATAATTCCAGCCATGGACCACCATACGGTCACCATCAATTTTTTTGAGTGTAAATTTTGTTTTGGCATGTGTCCTGATCGTTCGTCGATTGTCATATGCAATACATTTTTCATCACCAGTAATTATTCACTCAAAAAAAGGCTCGGTTGTTTGCCTGGCGAGCAAGGAAACCCATGGCCCAAGGCGCTTTAACTGCTGTCGCTCAATGAGTTCATGAGTGACCCATAGGTCAAGCTTTTTGACTTTTCCTCTGTTCCTTTATTGTCTTGACACGGTAGCTGCACTTGCATTTAGTTGTACTGCGAGTCCTCTGACTGTTAGATAGTGGTTTTCCTACACCTGAAGATTAAGGACATCGTTGTCGATTAAAGTTGGAGGTCTTCCGCGGGGTTCCTTTTCCAGTTCTGGTTCCCTTCCCCAAACGCCTTACTTGTGTTTCGTGCAGCTTCAGCTGCCGAATGACCGAGATGAATGATTATGAATAAACTCGTAAAGGAATATTACTCGAAAAACGATACTTTCCATGTTCATATTTGGAGGTACACTAAAAACTGTAATGGACTGGGGAGCTCGTTATTATAAAAAAAATCGGAGGATTAATAACTTCGAAATTATAGTACGTAATCAATTGGAAGTAAACAACAAAAAAACGCAACATCCTCTCTGAATTTCTGAAACTATAAAATCGGACATTTCATGTGAAACAACCCAATAGAAGGGGCAAGAAATGGGTTCCAAACACAGCCCTCGCGGATCCCGGTGCATCTTAGATGCTGCAGGGTGCAGAGTAATAACTGATAAGTACAAAATAAAATCCAACCATAAAAACGGATTTATCTTTTACATTGTTTCCAGACCGTCTTTAAAGTCTTACAGTTAAATAATCGTATTTCTTCACTTGTTCACATTTCTTCCTCAAATTCGGACGAGTATGTTTTGTTTTTTCGTCTTGCATTTGTCTTGAAGATTAATTCGCTTATATTTTTGGATTTAAGCAACGATGTTCCTGTATGGAAACCGGAAAAGCGAGATTCAAGCATTCTAAACAGGCTTTACTGAGGACGGCACATTTCCTTGCTCATCACGACTAAAAGATTAGCCATTCCTCTGCGGAATCGTGACTGAACACAAGGTCCGTTGATTAATTTTTCTTAGGATGTCTGAATAATTTGAATAACTACTTGCATTACCCTTGTGCAGTAACTTAACAATATTATTCACCAATTTACCACTCAGTTAAAAAAATCCTCCATTTAATGGCATTTCTTTTGTTTTATTATTTATTTAATTTTTTTCCAAGTTACACTACGAGATATAATAAAAACAACAATAATTCATTACTTGAAGGTAAATTTTGTGACCTGTTAACATATACCTAAGTATAACATATAAGAAAGTACTTAAGCGATTCGATCATCGAGATAGCAAGGTAGATGAATGTAAAACATAAAATATATGTTATATTTTAAAAACTGAACAAATACTAATTAAAAATACGATGTAGAGCTTTTAAGTAGTACTGGGTTCTTCGATAGTGCGTGGAATTGATCAAATACAACACAATGCTATGACTTTTCGTGACATCTCAGGGACTTAGCGAGGTTAAGAGTCATCTCTAGACTTTTAATACACATATTATTTAGGGAGCAATATAATTAAGTCCGTTTACGACAAAAGCATCAGTGCGGGGGAAAACAGGCGTCTCAGACCGGTTTCACAGGCGTAAGGCAGGGCAGTATTCTTAGCCCCGTTCTCTTCTCTATTTTTATGGATTTGAATGCAGGGATCAAGGTTATTAGCTCGTATATAAAAGCCCTCATGTAAGCACAAGATGTGGTCTTGCTTGTGGATAACGTTTCCTATCTGCAACAAAATGTTAATAGCCTGGCGAAATACTGCGGCTGACGGAACCTAACGGTTAATTTACAAAAATCGAAGGTCATTGTTTTTAGGAGAGGAGGCAGACTAGCCTCGAAAGAAAAATGGTCTTTCGAAGGGGCTCCTATCTAAGTAGGAAATGAGTACAATTGCCTTGATGTGACGCTAACTTCTTGTTTGTCACTCAATACACACTTTATGCAGAAAGTCTCGGCAGCGTATAGTATTTGCGCTTAATACTATACGGCCTGGGTTCATGAAGCACCCCCTTATCTCACCTCCCTTCATCTTCCAAATTTAAATTGTTGAATGCGGTTTGCCGTTGATGCTCACGTACGGATGTCAAGTTTGGGGTTTTCAAAAATCGTTGAGGTGCTTGATCAAGCAGTTGCCTTCCTGTACTCCAAAATGCTATGTTTAGAAACCGTGTTCATCCCTTATTTCTGAACAAGTTAAAGCTCCATTTTAAATTTTATACAAACCCTAAAACTTCCTTGTCACCGTTACACGAAAATACAAAATACAAAAATACACAGCTAAGGATATATTAAATAAAAATATTTTCTGGTATCAGCACTGGAGACTTGTTAGAGTCTCGATATCAGTGAGATATCCTTCTTTCCGATTCTCTCGAGACGTCATTTCCAGAATTCCAGTGCATTCTTTTCAATATAAAGTCCAGTGATAACAAGAGCTTTTTGGACAACAGAGAGGTTTCTTTTGTACAAGAAGCTTGACCGAAATCTTGATGGGAAACGTATGGTAAACATGGAAGAACACTAAAACTGAGGGATCTTCGCTGGCTCTTCAAACTCCGAGGTGAACTTCTGTTCCTGACCTCTACCCCCTTTATCAAGGCCTATCGGCTGCCAGAGGGATACAGAAATGTAATCTCTGTGCAATACAAGGGAAAAGGAAACCATCGTGCACTTTTTGGCTAAATGTACCACTTTGTCCGAGATGCGTGCTCCATATTTGGGTAGTGCTGTGCTCTCGGAAGAAAACCTAGTCAAACTTGTAAATGAGTCAAGCCTGCAACTAAAAAAATTCGCTCGTCACGCCTTGTTTTACCACAGGAAACTGGCACAAGAATTCAATTTTGGATTTATTAGAAGAAATTTTTACTTAATTAATTAATGGTATATAAATCTATCCAGTTCGGTGTTCACCAGATTATTTTATTTTGTTTTATTATTATTTTTTTTCTAATTACGTTATAAAACACAGAATATTATTATATTTTATTGGCTATTTTATTATCTTTTATCAATATTTTATCATTAAACTCGCCCCCAAGCAGACGGATATTCCATTGCTGTAAATACTTATGTTTTTTTTTAAACGGGTATATTTTGTTATTTATATTAATTGTCAAATAAAGTATTATTATTATTATTAGTAGTAGTAGTAGTATTTAGGGAGCAAGGAATTAAAAAGAAATTTATAAATCTGCAAATAGAACTGGGTTCCAGAAATTACAGGTCTCGCAGAACTTTATACCAAATGGACAAGTCGTTCAGTTATTTATTTCAAAAGATAAAAATGGACAGGCCTTCGTTTTTTTTCATTTTTTAAAATTTTTTTAACCCATGCATTCCGAGACTTCCAGTAGAAGTGAACAGTGATCAAGCAGGTCTTCAAGTCCTTCCCGGTGCCTCTCACATACGAAGGCAGGGCCCTTTCACCTGGCAAGGACGCCGTCTTTAGTCGACTACCAGTCGACACTCGCGGTAAGCCGATGCAACCTGCAAATTTTAAACTAAACGAAAAAAAAAGCGATCCCGTTTAACTTTAAACAATTATAAATTTTTTCATCGGCGTTCGTCCTGAATACAGTACATGAACGAAAAAGCATAAAATTTTACAATTTGTTGAAGTCGTGAGGAGCGGTCAAGAATGAGGTAGTTTAGAAAAACACTTTTTTCATTTTTTTTTTCAACGTTTCGACCTTTATTCGAGTCATCTTCAGGGCCTGGATAAATTACAAAACATTCGTTGATTGGAAAAAATACAATTAAAGATGTAAATATAAATTTTGATCCAAGTATTTCATACTCACATAAAGTGTGGTGCTGTTCTTGTGATGTCATATTGATTTTTTGTAATTTACCCATGCTCTGAAGATGACCCGATTAAAGGTCGAAACATCTGCCAAAAAATTATAAAGGTGTTTTTCTAAACTACCTCATTCTCGACCGCTCCTCGCGGTTTCAACAAATTACAAAACAACAGGTCACTAAGAAACACACGTAAAATTTTACTTAAAACACGAAGATCTTCATAAAAATAAATGTTTTTAATAATTCTGATAAGACAAAAACAATGTTTTCCTTAATGTAAAATTTTTTTTAAATTGAAAATTTTACAACTTGCTTGAGTAAACACAACAGCCGAAAAAAAATTACCTTAAATTTAAAATGTTTCTTTTGTTATGTAAAATCTTGGTTGAGACAGAAAAGCTAGTGTCACAAGCGGGATTCGAACCCAGGACCTTTGGCTTTTTCATAACAAAAAATGGCTTACATAACAAAAAATTTAAAAAACGGTTAGGGATGGTTAGGGATGGTTAGTATGGTACCCCGGGCTCCTCTATAAGTTAAAAGGTATCCTCCCTCAGACCTACTACCTTATCGTGAAATCCTTCCTCTCAGATCGATGGTTTAAAGTAAGAATCGGCACCGAGTTTTCACCTATCACACCAATCAAAGCTGGCGTTCCACAAGGAAGTATCCTAGGCCCAATCCTCTACACCATCTACACTGCTGACATACCCACACATCCGAACACACAAATCACAGCCTACGCGGACGACACCGCAATCTTATCAACACACTCCAATCCTATCCTAGCAACAGAAGCTCTCCAACAACACCTGAACCTTATTACCAACTGGTGCAATCTGTGGCGGATCAGGTTAAACGAACAAAAAAGCCAACACGTTACATTTACGCTCAAACGACAAACCTGTCCA